AGGTACCCAAAATTGTCTCCGACTCCGACTCCACAGCCCTGGTGCTAACCCCTAGTTATGTACTTGTATTCTTACAGTGGCCAAATAAACTATTGTATCACTACTGTTACGCTCTGACATGGTGTATTAATTGTGGTAGTGGGCAGTTCTAGCTTGGTCCAGCTGGCCTGTTTTTCTGTAGCAGTGTTCTATTCCATTACACGCTTAAATACCACTAAGCATCCTGTTTGTTGATACCAGCCCTCCAGAAAATGAAGGGTTAGTTATGTTTGTTTGATTGTATGTAAACAGGCTTCTGGAAAGAGATAATCTCTTAATGTGCAGCAGTAAAAATATTGTCAAATATATATATAATTATCGGTGCCTTTGGTCTTAGTCAGTCTCCAAAAAGAGCTTAGAGTTCCAGCTGTCCTCTTCGGAACTGCTTAAATAGTGGCATTGCTGGCTGATCCAGACCTGCACTGTATGCTGCTGTCATTAAGGGGCTGGATATCGAGCAGCGGGTCTCACTCTGCCCTGTACCACTGCTGCTGTGGTTCTTGATAACGGAGGCAGAGATAGGATACAGGCGTCACTCGTCCGATAATAATGAAACACATTGTTTTTGTTTGTATCGCTTTGACGCTATTAAGATGGCTGAGGTGTGAAGGGAGGTGTGTTTTTAGTTTCACTTTTGTTTTGCCTGTCCATTCCTGCGGTGAAGCACTTCCATTTCCTCTTGAGGTCCAAAATAATGCCGATGGGGGAATCTCTGAATTTCCCCTCGTGTGATTTCTGTAAGAGCACATACATGTACATGAGTTTCATGTTTAACGTGACTTGCCCCACCCCTTTTGTTTAGCTGCTTGAGATAGGAAGTACTAGTTTCTTATTTTAGTACATTTATGGTGTGGTTATGCCTCGGTGCTTGTGATTGGAAGGTCGCCGATTTGAATCCTGTGGTTGGCAGAACAGCCCCATTACCATTGGGCCCTTGAGCAATGCCTTTCATCCCAAAAATGGCAAAAAAAAACAAACCGAAAAATGTTTTCATCAACCCAAATTTCCAGCGAACACTGCACCTCTACTGCATTGATGGCACCTCTGATGCCACCATGTTTGTGAAAAATGCAGTTCTCCCAAATAAAATAACGAAATCTGTACAGCCTACCTGATCTATTCCTTCTGGGTTCAGCTGCATCACTGCCGTCATGTCTGTGCTCCGTGCTCGGGCACAGTTAGTGGAAAAAAAAGATCTTTGTATACAAACCTTTGGCCATTAGTTTAGTGGTTTTCTCCATTTGTTTTCAGTGACACTGCATTTTTAAATTTGTGATCCTTTAAGAGCTTTAAACAGCTCTCCAAATATGAAAAGCTGCTGTATTGCTTTTTGATATCTCATTGCTATTGAATAGATGTCAAATCAAGAATCGAATCGGATTTAATCTAATTGTTAGCATGCAAATCTGATTTGAATCTGGCCCTCTGTGCCAGTACCTAGTCCTATGTGTCACATGAGTATTTTGCTCCAGTCATGATCGAGCAATCATGCCTGCTGTAAAAGCTGGTCTAGTCTCATTGGCCAAAGATGGATAATTAGCCAGGGACTGCAAAGTCCCCAGTCACATTCAGGTCAGCAGCGTGGGAACATTGTGGTTGTAGAATATAGTATTTCAGTTTTTTATTTATATTATTATTTTATGTGAAGTTTTCCCCCATTCTTATTCATCCTCCTCCACCCCACCCCCCTAAAAAAATATTGAGGTCTGAACTGAACTGTGGGTCTGGAGAATCATTACACCCCTAATATGTAGTGGGTATAGATGTTTGATCATAGCAGCAATACTTAACATTGTTTGCTGGTTTTTTTATTGGTAGTTGTAATTCGTTTTTGTTGATATTGCTAAGGTGTATGTTGGGGATGTTTCTTCTTGTCACACTAAAGGAATTTAAGGCTCAATAAGATCTGGCTGGGCAAACAAAAATCCTGCACTGTGTATCTGACAGTGGACTGGTCATATGCTCTGTACAATTGCAGTGGCAGGCAAGTAAATTGATGTGAAGATTTATTTTTGTTTGTTTTGCTTTGGACATAATTTCCCTTAAAGACGGAAATGTGTTGTTGCAGAAAAATAACATAAGCTTGTTGTGTACGTGTACGTGTATGTTTTGTAATCAGATGGTATGCTTTATTTATATAGTGCCCCAAAACAGCAGCAAATGTGCCTAAGGGCCTCTGGCTTGAGGTGTCATTCTGCTGAAGCGCTGCTAGCTGAGTCTGGCTTTATGAGATGCCGGATGCAGGAAGGAAGGAAGGAACACACCCCCAGGGCCCGTCTTCCCCAAGAGCCGTGAAAACAGGATCAGGCTCTGGTGTATCTGCGTGGGGCTTCAGTTTGCGTTCTTGTTGGCTAAACCAGGTGGTATTTATTGGGAATTTGAAAAAATGAATAAGAACGATGGTGATGAAATCAGACCGTACCACACTGTGGTGAGGAAGAAGACAAGCCTGGTGTGTCATATCTAGAACCAGAGAGAGTTATATGCTTCAGGCTGGGGTGGTTATGCTGCACTTACTGGAGACCGGAAGACCAGCACAAACCTTTCTGCACCTGATTTATGCTTAGGACTAAAACGGCAATAATAAGAATATAATAGTGCAGAGTTGCTTTTCAAACCATCTTATCGCCCCATGAATTAAGGTTCGGTTTGTTGACACACAATAGTAAAATACTCTGTCACATCTGGCATCAACAGCTTGGCATAGGAACAAGACACAGCATTCAGTCCATTCACTTATTGATGTTTTTATTACGTTATGTATCCGATGGACATGTGCATCCAAGGACAGTGGAAAATGGATAAAGAAATGAAACGAGCAGCTCTGATTGGTCAACATAACCGTGTTGCCAAGCTACTGCTCCAGAGACGGGGACGGCTGCTTGGCTCTCAGAGGGCACTGCAGATGGTGTCTGCCCTCCGTGTCGGCTCGCTGGAACGAGGTGAACAGTGCAGTAGCCTGTTAGCAGTCAGTCCAAAGGCCATTTCACACAGATTTTTTTTCTCATAAAAATGCCAAAGGACATCAGTCTGAAACTAAGAAACTTTTTTTCTGTGAAGGCTTGCATGCCACGTCTGACAAAGTTGTGTTGTCATGATCTGTCCTTTTTCTTTTTATCCGGGGAGAAATCAATTTCTGCAGTTTTCATATTTGTAAAAAAAAAAACAACCAAGCAATAGGATGTCAGTTTTTCAAGTGATCAGTTATTTTTGAATAGGAGGAGATGGTGAGGAGCGCATGCTGAATACAGCACATCGCCACACGACAAACCACCTCAGGGATGAGAACCTGAGTGCAGTCATGTGGCGGCCGATACCTCAGCACCACACTAGTCCAAATGGACCAGTGTGAGTTTTTTTTTTTTATGGTGGCTGGAGTCCCAATCCTGCCACCAGCCCCCAAATTTCCCTGTAAGTTGGAGGACCTCCTTATAGGGCTGGATGCAGATTAACGTCATGCGTAGGACAAAGTCATTGCAGGTTAAGGGCCTTGCTCAAGGGCCCAACGGAGAAGGATCACTCCGGGCATTCGAGGGATTCGAACCAGCAACCTTCTAATTGCTGGCACAGATCCTTAGCCTCAGGGTCAACACTCTGAGCCTTTTTGAATCAGAGGAACACATTTCATTTGGTTTACAATCATGGGCGTCGCCACCATTAAATCTGAGGGCGGCATGTCCCCCCTCGCATTTCATAATTATTCGTTTGGACCCCCCCACATTTAACATAAAATATTAATTTTATAACAGTGTGCCCCCCCCCCATATTAAAAATGCTTCTGACGCCCCTGTTTACAATGTCAATCTTTTATTGACAAAGGGCTTTTCAGGCTGATTGGTAGACTAGTGCTCATGTTGGTTTTTCTGTACTGCTTTAGATTTCATAATGTCTCTTGGATGATATTAAACTATATATTTCAGCTATATTTTATTATTCTTGCTTGATATATTGATCTGTGTACGATAGATATCCAATAAAAATCTGTATTCCTGTAGTTAATTGACTAATAATGGATGATGCTGATTTCAATATTAATTTTGCTTATCCCGAAGTACTGTCTGAAATGCTCAGCTTGAATTCTCTGCATTCTTGAAGTTTTTTTTTTTTTTTTTGTCACTTCCTTTCAGTTGTTTGCTCAAAAGAAAAAAGCAAAACTCATCACTGCTGCTAGTGCTTGGACAGTTTATTTTTCTGGTATGCAGATTTTCCTCAGTCACTTGTGAAGATTTTGCATCATGTTTTGTATAAAAAAAATTTTGATCCATCAAATTAGACACAGATTTGTGAAATATACTGCTGCATTTTTGTGTCTCGTTTGGTGTGAAACAGCCTTAAAACAAATCCCTGGACAGATCCCTCAGTCTGGCTGTTGTGTCAATGCCCTCGCAGGTGGGTTTCAGAAGATCATTCTTCTCTGGGGTTAGTGAGAGTTGGTGATTAACTTTTTACAACCAATGCTATTGTTTGGTTTATCCCAACTGCATCTTACACATACATAAATTTATGTAGTAGGCACTTTTCTCCAATGTGAGGTGAGGATCAGAGGGTGGTGCGTCGACCAGAATCCATGGAGCATCTGGGTTAGAGCCTTAATCAAGGGCCCAATGGTGATATTACTCTGCAGACCACGGGATTTGAACCCACAACCTCCTAGATATGTGCACATACCCCTATCCTGCTAAGCTTCACAACCCCTTCTGTCTGTTGGCCTGCCTGCTGGATCTCTCTTTGCTTCATAAATGGCTTCCAGCTGTTTGTTTTCTGTCCAAAAAAATACAGCTGCAACAGCTACACCCTCAGAAAATGAAGTAAATGTCAAACGTATTATATTTGCATTGTGATATTAATGTTACGTTAGTCAGTTAGGTTATCAAACCAGTCTACCTGAAAACTATTTTGAGACCAATTCACCCAAATCACACATCTGTGGCCTGCAATATGACATTGCGGTACCCGGAGGAAAGCCATACACAGAGCGGGGGCGCAGTCGACCCCACGGCCCTGATAAGTGGCCACAGCGTTAATCACTGCTTGCCACATCACCCTTAGCCAACCTCCTTTCATTTCTGTGTAACTCATGCAGCTGAGTTTAAGTAAAATCTGAGCTAAAATGGTTTCATAATTTGTCAGAGCGCTCAGTATGACCGTGCCACTGTATTTCTTTTATTTTTTTACAGTAAAAATAAAAGTATAACGTTTCAGGTTGGCACCATCATGTATTACTGGGTCAGTTTGCATAAACTAGGCATGTCATCTCCCTCAGAGAATATATATATATATATATATTTGTTGAGGTTATTTTTTTTGTGTGTGTGTGAGAGTTTGGGAGTATTTGTGTTATGGGAACTGAAATAGCCCAGTAGTGAGATGAGCGTACTCTGAGGACCTTGGCAATAAAGGGCAGAGAGGAACCGCAACCGAAAGCTTGAACCCACTGCGTTCTGGGCTTGCGCTAAACGAGTATGCAGTGTTGAATTTAACAACAGAACAGAATAACATCACATTCTGATCTTCTCCCCCCCCAGCTGCCTTCCTCACACAGACGGTGTGTCTGGATGATACAACAGTAAAGTTTGAGATCTGGGACACAGCTGGCCAGGAGCGATATCACAGCCTGGCTCCTATGTACTACAGAGGAGCGCAGGCAGCCATCGTGGTCTACGACATCACCAACACAGTACGCACCCCCCCCCCACACGCAAAGAAGCCAGTGCCTGGCAGCACATGCAATGCTGACATGGACATTTCATGCTGGGGATGGGAGAGAAACACGCTTAGCATATTAAGACTCTCACCTCTGTTTGGGAATCACTTTTTTACTTTTTAAAATTTGTTTACAAACCAGTATAATCTCACAGCTAGCTTAATCACCAAGTGAATAGCTCAACTAAGTATTTTTGCTATCAGAAAGTGAGAATAACCTATTCTGGTTCTCTCATTAAAATATCAGGTTATATATTTGGCAAGACTTGTTGAAAGCTGAAATGCTAGCTCTATAGAGATTTTAGTATTGAGATTTTCCCCTAATTTTCCAGGAAATACCAGAATCTGTGCCCCACCCCAAGCAATAATGTGAGGTCAGGTCAGTTCGGTGGAAATGAATAAGACCAATTGGGCATCTAAGTTAAACATAACTGTCATTCCATTACCAATCAATGGCACAACTCTGTATAGTGTAATAAAGGAAAGGAACAAAAAAATCATAATAAAATTTCTATGTAGGATTTGTTTGTTGCTTTTTTTTTTTGCGCATTGGGACTGTTGCTTTTCCAGGATACATTTGCACGTGCAAAGAACTGGGTGAAGGAGCTGCAGCGGCAAGCCAGCCCCAACATCGTGATCGCTCTGGCAGGGAACAAGGCTGACCTGGCCAATAAGAGAGCCGTCGACTTCCAGGTGCGCCTCCGGGCTGCGGAGCTCGCCGTTACTCCAGTGCTGATGCTGCATGTGCTATAATGTACTGTGCCTTGTAACGGTGTGCTTTTTATGGAGAACATAAACTCTTGTCATTAATATGGTTCTGAACACCGGATATACGTTTAAAAAAAAATAAAAATAAAAATTGCACGGATATGGCTCCTGGTACTCGGGCATTGTTTGCTGTGTTGAGTTTTTCCAGGGATGCTGAAGTGTCTCTCTCCTACCTCCTCCTCAGGAAGCACAGGCATATGCTGATGACAACAGCTTACTTTTCATGGAGACCTCAGCCAAAACCGCTATGAGCGTCAATGAAATCTTTCTGGCCATAGGTAACTTGCTGCTTCATATTGCCTGTAGCCTTAAGCTATGACTTTTTAATGTGTTCTGGATCAAGCCAGATCAGCTTATTGACATTCACCGAAAATGGTGTTAAGGATTTACATTTGCCTATGCTTATTCATTTATTTGTTTGTTTGTTTATTGATACATTTACCTATACTTACCCTACTGTCAGTGATTCTAATTCCCATTTGCAACATTAAAATTGTTGCAGAAGAGTGGTAATTTTTTCCCAAGTCTGATGGACCTGGACTTTGATCCGAGGTAGCTCATGTGTTTCTTGTGTAACGTTTTTGGTATTAAAACGGTTTTGAATTAGTTGCGGAACACCTCGTTTGTTTATATTTTACACTTTTTCCACTTCACCTGGTTTCTGCCCCTTACATGACCTGCATACAGGTTGTTGTGCTATTTGAACAGAATAATACATGTTGTGTGTATATATATTTCTGTGTGAGTGCTGTGGTGTGGTCTCACTCAGCTTTTCACTCTGCTTTTCCCATCCGCCCGCCATCCTTGTAGCCAAGAAACTGCCGAAAAGTGAGCCACAGAGTGGGACTGGGCCGGGCGGCCGGACCATAGGGGTGGATCTTCGGGACCCGGCTCCACCGAGCCGGGACAGCAGCTGCTGCAAGTAGGGCACTGAGCAGGCGAGCAGCTGGCCGGCTGAGCAATGACGACACCGCGGAGTCTAAATCATCCCTGAAGGAGGAGAAAAGATCAGATCACTTAACAGAAGCCTTAACATGCTCACTGTTCTTTTTCCTGTTTTGAGCATTTTTTCGTTTTTATAATAAGCTGAAGGAGATCCCACGAGGTGTCCTCCCTTGCATACACAAACACACTCTGTATCTTTTGTTCTATACAAATACTAATTGTTATGTAAGTCACTTTTAAAAGGAAAAACTAAATTGTACAACACATGCTCTTTTTTTGGTGAGGTTGTGGGTGAATATTAAAATTGCCATTTTATATTCTGTTCTGATCGTTTTGACCAACTGATTCTCTGGAACAGTAGGAGAAGTTGCCGATTTTCTTCCAGATTTAACCGTCTCGTAGTTAATTACTAGTATTGTTGTTGTTACTACTGTTATGGCACAAGAACCTTGAAGTACTTTGGCAGGTAAATTGTCTCTGGTTTCCAGGTTTCTGTGTGCAAGGCTTCCAGCTATATGAATAGATCATTAACAGTAGTTACTATACCATTCATTTTTAGCGTCGTCTATGAATTGGTAATATACAATGTCAATAAATGAAATTTAAACAAACAGTAGATGTTGATCAAAATCACCACTAAGTATTGATAAATAATTTTGCTGTATATGTAATGTTTTTTTTTTTTCTTCAAACATGTAACCAATCAGTAATTATTGTCAATACAGTTCCTTATATAATGTATATTATGTCTGATATTGATTTTTATTTTATTTTTTAACCTTTGGTTTTGGCGATCTGGTATTGAATAACGGCTCTTTCTTTCATCTCTTGAGCCTTTAAGAACGTTTCCATGTTTGTTTCCGTCTTCCTTTAAGGGATCATTATGCGCTGTGGTCATCACTGTTGATATGACTAGCACAACGAGAGGGTGTCTGAAATGTTTTGGGGAACAGGTGGGGACAATGCCTGCCTGGCCTAGAAGGCTAGTGTTCCGTACTGTGTACTGGGGCCGGGATGAGAGAAAGGAAACAGGAAGTGGGAAATGTCAATGTACATTTTACCAATAAATATTGAGGTATAAATACAACTGTGTGCTCCCTTGCGCCCTCTAGTTGTATTCTTCCGGAAAAAACGGTTGGAGTTCAGTTTTAAAAAAGGCTTGTGCGTATTTATCCGTCCGCATGCATTTATAGTGAACATGTAATTTAAGCCGTGATTATTTCCAAATATATTAAATATTTTGTCCGTGAAACTGGAAGGAGTAGAGGGATTGGGGGTGTGATACGAGACAGTAATTCCTACATCCCTTTATATCAGTAATGCCAATATTACAGTGCCTAAGTTGGTTTCCGCACACTTCCACCTTTAGCACTCACTAGTCGATATCTGACGAAAACCACAGATGACAGATTTGTCATTCTTCTTATGAATCTTAGTTTCACTGCTGAACCAAAAAGGGAGTAAAACACTTTGTTATGAAAGCTTAAAAAATCTCAACTCCAGTGCAAAACATGGATGCTTAACAAAGAGGAAAAACGTACATTTGCGAGGATTGTTAAAAATACACAAGTCGGTGTAATGACGAGCTAAACATTGCCATCCAAAAATGGGGCACTGAAAGTATCCGATTATAATACAGTGGTACCTCAGTTCTCGAACTCATTAGAACTCAAATTTCTTAAAAGTTGAACCAAGCAGTTCGAAAAAAAATTACCTAGAGCTCGATCTGAATCTCAGAAGTCGAACTGTGAACGCCGACCTAAGATAAGTTAGTCACACCGCACGTCTCTCAGCGGAAACAAAGGGTAACGCTTCAGTCTCAGCCTGTGATAGCATCCTGCATGTTTACACTAGCTGAATACATATATTTAGACAGTAAAAATACATTTAGACAATGATAGACAGTAACAGTAATTATTATATAATAAAATACATTTAAAAATAAAGATTTCTTATTCATAATTTTAATATTAATAATAAACCATTAATACATTTAATTATAATAATATTGTCCGCCCGATTGGGGACGGAACAGAGACAAAGGCGCAGACGTCAGGGTATCGTGGAATACAGAGTTTAATACAGGTAAGGCAGGCAAAACGCAGACGGACAATACAATGACCGGACTGGGCAAAGAAACTGAAACTCGGACGAAATACAGAGAACTAATGACAAGCAGAAACAGCTGATCACAGGGGGATTAAACGGGGTTAATGATTGTTTGGATACATCTATTTTCTTACTTTACAAATTACTGTTTTGATAAATTTGCTTAGATGTGTTTAGTACAGTATATGCTCTTGTTTTATCCTGTTCATTTTGTGTTTAAATGCTAAAAAAAACATATTTAGGTGTAATTTTTGGGGGCCGGGAACCAATTAATTGGTTTTCCATTATTTCTTATGGAGAAAATTCTATCAGAACTCGAATGTTTTAGGATTCGAGCCGGAGTTCTGAACGGATTAAGTTCGAGTTCTGAGGTACCACTGTAAATTCTTCATTCACAAGAAACTACAGATTTCACGGGGCTTCCGCAATGATTTGAACGTAGAAAACTACAATACCCAGAAGACACCTCTTCAGGCACGCCGGCTTCCCCCGCGCGACGAAGCTGAAACATCAATAAACTTCGTCGCTTCCAAAAAAAAGGGGAGTAGTTACGGACGGGCGTCATGGCGGACCCGGCGGCGCAGGCCTCCCCACAGCCCCGGCTTCAGCAGAACCAGGCCAGCATGACGGCTGGTTCGAACGCCAGCTCGGGCTCCGGCTCTGGATCCGGGTCCGGCAACAGCGATCCGGCCAGGCCGGGTCTGAGCCAACAGCAGCGCGCCAGCCAGAAGAAAGCGCAGGTCCGTGCTTTTCCGCGGGCCAAGAAGCTGGAGAAGCTGGGAGTGTTTTCTGCTTGCAAGGTAACCTGCCCCGTTTAATGTCACAAGGGGAGCAGCCGGAAAAAAGCGGCCCCCACCCGAAACGACCGGGACCCAGCCGCAGCCGAATGCAGCGGAGAAACTTGCATGCTAACTTTTAAAAATGTATTTATCGGCCAGTTATTCGAACTAATTGATTAATATGCATGCGGGGTTTTGAGCAGAGAAAACACGTGCCTATAGCTAGCTCCGGATATAAACAAAAGTACAGCAGCTGCGGATGCAAAATAAATAGAGATTCAGTACGGGCTGTTTCGCGGATAGTTACGATGTGTTTATCTGTATATCTTTTATTTACGTCTTAAATCGCAGGAAATTCGGATCCTTATTTTGGTTGCCAATCTTAAATCGCAGTTAAATGAAATGATGAATAAATACAACAAAGATTACAGCGCCATTTCCGTATTGGCATCTCATATATGCAACGATTACCGAAGGCAGAATATAATTTATTTGTTTTTCCAGAAGTGTGCTTTTATATTTTACGTATAGGGAAACATTCATAGTTTTGTTTTGGACATCCGGCTCCTTGGGTGTCTTATGAAAGTTCTGTGACGACTGTAAATAATCTTCTGCTTTCCTAAGGAATATGTCATAAGTCCGTTATTGATCACAGGTTGTGGAATTAAATGCATGCTTCAATCCAAAAAGATTGTGTGTTTTGTGTGCGTCTCCCCTATCGTTAAATCGCAGCTGCAGTAACCTCTTTCTCCTCTTTCAGGCCAATGATACTTGTAAGTGTAATGGTTGGAAGAACCCTCATCCGCCGACTGCCACCCGGCTGGATCTGCAGCAGCAGGCAGCCAGCCTGAGCGAGCCCTGCCGGAGCTGCGGACATGCCCTGGGTACTTAAATAATGTTGTGATGTCGGCTCTTTGTGGTGCTGATGGATGTGTGGGCGCTCCGTTTCAGCTTTGGGAAACGCCCCTTTATTCTCTGCCGCTGTCATTTTTGGAGATGGTTTAGATTTTTTTAAGACTTTGATTGGGTTTCCATTTAGTTTTTATGCTAACCTTAACAGCCATTAAAATTCATGTTAAAATGTGAAATTTTGAGTTTACTATCTGTGTTGCTGATACCGTTCGGGATATTTCAGCATTCCCAAAAATGTCAGGCTCCCAGCATTATGATCCCGGTTTCATAATACAAGCTGTTAATCTGGACTAGCAGTCATTTAACTTGTACTGCTCTTAAATGCTCCGTGAAACACTGTGGATCCTGTACATACAAACAGCTAATTATATGAGGCTTTAACAGCAGCTGCTGTAAGTTTGTCTGCACCTGTTTTCAGTCATGTAAAAAATCCCCCAGTAATGGTTTTGTCAAATGTGGGTGAATTCATTTTTTACCATTACCTAAAGTTAGGCATGTGCCCAGTACTGCATATTATGAAGTGTCTTCTCCGCATGGCCAGCCTGCCTCCCATGACCTTTGACCTCAGACCTTCGCTCCTTTAGTATATGCAGTTTTCATGATCTTCCTATGATCATGTGGGTGTCCTGTAAGGAAACTCCCACAGGCAAAATACATGCACTTTAGGTTACCTGGTGTTTCTCAATTACTGTATGATAATATGTGATTGTGTAGCATTGTGCGCCTTGTAGTAGACTGGCATTGAACCAGGGTGTTTCGGGGGATAGATTTCAGGCTCACTGAGGATCTTTGCAAGTTAAGTGGTTATGGACAACTGATGGATTAGTTTGAATGTATACGTTTTGAAACTTAACCCCCATGTACATTTTATCCAGGATAATAATTAGGGGTATAACATCAATTCTAATCAATATGTTGATTGTTGTGGCCACAATATTTATTTAACCAACTTACTTAATAGAGAGTAGAAACCAATACATTACAGTACATTTTATGTAATTTTGCACACCTATATTATGTTTTCAGAGAGTAAGCTAAACGTATCCAAAAGGTTTTGTGTTGTTGAAGTACAAATACAAGACAGAATGTTTCTCAGGCAGACATTTTTTGTGTTTTTGAGACATGTTATTAAAATGACATGATTATTATTAGGGGTGTAAATAGCAGGCTTTACCATGATACTTTTCGATTTCGCAATGCAACAATTCGGATATCTGATGATATTTGAAATGTTACTCTGATACGATACAATGCCATAATAAATGATATTTACGTTAATGTTAAAAATGTTAAATTTTTAAGTCAAATACACTAAATCAGCTTATGTTTCACTAGTGAAAATATCATTTATTATGGAATTGTATCGTGTCAGAGTAACATTTCAAATATCATCAGATATCCGAATTGATGCATTGCGAAATCGAAAAGTATCATGGTAAAGCCTGCTATTTACACCCCTAATAATAATCATGTCATTAGCATTATGTCCATGGCTCAGTGGGTAAAACCATTGCCCTGGGGTTTGCACATTCTTCCCATGTTTTATTCTGGTTTTCTCCCAGCAGTCTAAAGACCTCCTGTTAGGCTTAAAGGTGTCTCTGAAGTGCCCTTCTGTGGCCTGGCATCTCATCCTGGGGGTGGCCTGCCTGGGATAGCCCCCATGCTCTCCACAGCCCCTTACTGGATAACTAGCTGGGAGATGGATGGACTTTAGCTGCTGTTTTCATATGATTCCGGTTTAATTTTTGAAGTGCTTATCCTTCTGCAAGTTTGGCTCTCACCACAGCTTCTGGCTAGAACTAGACTGGGCCCACAGTTTCTCTGTAAGACAGGAAACAAGGTGTTGGTCCATGATACAGTGTTTCAGAATCGCCTTTTACCACCCTGTTCCCAGCGGAACACGTGTCACACCTGGAGAACGTGTCGGAGGAGGAGATCAACCGGCTTCTGGGGATGGTGGTGGATGTGGAGAACCTGTTTATGTCTGTCCACAAGGAGGAAGACACTGACACCAAACAGGTGTACTTCTACCTCTTCAAGGTTTGTGCTGCCTGCCCTACCACGTTTATGGATTAAGGTCATGTGACTCACAGACTTGTATTTCCCTGTACGTAGTTCTGCGCACGTGTCTTTCTAATGTTTGGTATGATGTCTCTCCATGTTTTTGTGGCTTATTTTAGAGTAGGTGGATCAGTAGTATCCAGCAAATTTATCGAAGCATCCAGAGCAGCCATGATAAAGTTCATCTTATTTAATTTATTTATTTATTTTTTTACTTTGTTGACTCATGCTTTCCTCACACTCCCAGTTACTCAGGAAGTGCATCCTGCAGATGAGTAAGCCCGTAGTGGAAGGCTCCCTGGGCAGCCCACCCTTTGAGAAGCCCAACATCGAGCAGGTGAAGTGGCAGCCCGGATGTTCACGGGGGTAGCGGGTCTGATGTCATAGTCGCGGTGGTGACGCCGCCTCATAATCTCTTAGGGAGTGCTGAACTTCGTTCAGTACAAGTTCAGCCACCTGGCGCCCAAAGAGAGGCAGACGATGGTCGAGCTATCCAAGATGTTCCTGCTGTGCCTTAACTACTGGAAGCTGGAGACGCCGTCGCAGTTCCGCCAGCGCTCCCAGAAAGATGACAGCACGGCCTATAAAGTGAACTACACCAGGTACTGTGGCATTGTGAGGTCCGTGCTGTGACGACTGAGGGATCCGTTTACAGCACTCGCTTATTGCTTGGGTGTGTGTGCCTCTTAGCTGGTGGGACAGCAAGTGTCTGCATGTTGATTCGCATCTACTTTAAGTACACCCACTCCTTACTTTGTGATTGCCTCAGTTAGTGAACATTTGCAAATAAGACTGTAAGAAAAAATTTATATTCTGACCATTTATGACCAAATTTCATACACCTAACAATAACATGCTGGAGTGAGAGATATTTGAAGATGAATGTAGTAAATGTTAATAATGTACACTCGATGAAGTATAAAAGAAACTGAGTATGGAAGGCTGAAGCTAAGTAGTAAGCACATACACCGTAATTGTCACTTTAATGACCATTTCGCTTAACGACCTGGTCCTTGGACCGCATCTCAGTTGCTAAAGGAGGATTGTTTGCAATACACATGTATGTGTGACTATTTGAAACTGCTGAAGGCCAGTGTCTGTCTTGGCGGTGGGAGTAAAGGTGATGACACATGGAGCAACTTTTTCAGCAATGTTGCTGGGCAACAGCCAACCAGGTGAGACAAAGGGCTACTCATCTGGATCTGGATGATCGCGAAATCTTGCCCACTGCCGATGAAAGATTTTCAAATTGAAATTTGTTGCCCAATATCAGTGGGAAAGTGTCCAAGCAACACTGGTCAGCCACATTGCCCGGCATCAATGCTCACAAAGTTGCCCCGTGTATCATCACCCTAAAGGATTCTCCGTTTGGCGCCACTGAATCACAAACTCAAAGTAGCACATTAATAGTATTATTGGATGCGATTCTGTTTCCATGCCGTTTTCATGTCTTTCTTCGGGGTGAGGGTTTGGCGAGTGGCACAGTGTGTCCACGCCGGTCTCGATCCTTTCTGCCTGTGCGCAGGTGGCTGTGTTACTGCCACATCCCGCAGTGCAACGACAGCCTGCCGCGCTGCGAGACCACGCAGGTGTTCGGCCGCAGCCTTCTCAAGTCCATCTTCACCGTCACGCGGCGCCAGCTGCTGGAGAAGTTCCGCACCGAGAAGGACAAGCTGCTGCCCGAGAAGCGAACCCTCATCCTCACACATTTCCCCAAGTAAATATGTCGCCTCCACCCTGGTTACTCCACTGTCTGCTTACATCACTGTCAGGACAGAGTGGGGGCCGCTTGATGCCCCTCCTCCACCCGAGATCCCAGCCTGTGTTGCACTCCCCGCTCCGAATTCCTGTGCACCGAACAAAGTTCTGTGCCGGCAGTCGTTTCGGCTGAGAACAGGCTGTGCCTGTCCGCCGTGGCCAGGCGAGGGGTGGGAGGGATGGACCTCCAGTCACCAGATGCTGTTCCCTGCATCTTTGCTTTAAAAACAATAACAAAACATTTGTCTAGCTGGGACAGGAGAGGCAGTGGCATGGCCGCAAAGGGCGGGGGGTGATGATGTGTGGGCTTCCCTCCTGCAGGTTTCTCTCCATGCTGGAGGAGGAAATCTATGGGGAGAATTCGCCCATCTGGGACGCAGACTTCACCATGCCCGCCTCAGAAGGGGGGCAGATTGGGCACCAGACGGGTGAGGTCACGCCCTCAAATGACCTTCTCTACACATTTTTAATACTTTGGCAACCAGTGTTTAAATGCATTGGTTTTTTTTTCCATGCTCTGGAAACTTTCAGAATTTAAAACCTACTGCAGTTCCCTTTGCTAGTTTAAAGCATCTGAATTTTTGACCCCTTGGTTGTGTAAATATCGTTTAGTATAGCATGGAGTAGATGGTCTGAGTATGGCTAATGGCTCTATCTTTGTGGTTGTGCCACATGTCTCTGCTGCACAGCAGTCATCAGCCCCGCATCCGTATCTGGTACCCCGTCCTTCACCAAAAACAGCAGCAGCACCTGTTCTCTGGGCAGTGCCAGCCTGGATACTGGTGTCTCGGAGCCCATGCCAGGTATGCAGAAATCATCTGGTAAAACTTGTGTCATTTCGGAGAAACGCTCCTTTGACTGTGTGTTGAAGTTAACCAGGGCTTTCAACTTTCTCCCTTGGATTTTTCGTGTCCTGAACCACTTTTGTGAAAAGAAATTGCGTAAAATGCCGTTTAATGCCAGGATTTTTCTGTGGGCAATGAACAGGAAAATGGTCAAAGAGGTTCTCTTTCACTTGGCTAAGAATTACATGGCTAATGTGTGACCTGAGAGATTTTGAATGTGGTGCAGTTGTTGGTGGATCCAGCATCTCAGAGTGCCGACGTCCTCCAGGTGAGAAGAGGAGGCTTCCAGAGGCACTGACTCTAGAAGATGCCAAGAGAATCCGCGTGATGGGAGATATCCCCATGGAGCTGGTGAACGAGGTCATGATGACCATCACCGACCCTGCTGCCATGCTGGGGCCAGAGGTAGGTATGACGGGGCATAGAGTGGCAGAGATGCGCCTGCAGAGGGGGCCTAGGGCTGATGCATCTGCTGTAAACTCGCCCCCACCCCCAGACTAGCCTGCTGTCGGCAAACGCGGCGCGGGACGAGACGGCCCGGCTGGAGGAGAGGCGCGGCATCATCGAGTTCCACGTCATTGGCAACTCGCTCTCCCAGAAATCCAATAAGAGGATCCTGATGTGGCTGGTGGGCCTGCAGAATGTCTTCTCCCACCAGCTTCCCCGCATGCCTAAGGAGTACATCACCAGGCTGGTGTTTGACCCGTGAGTGTAACACGGCCCCAGAACCCAGCTGTTTCCGAAGGGCTGCCCAGTCTTTGAGTGTGACGCTGGAACTGCGTTTGTACTGGGAAACCGGCACCCTGGCATTTATGCCAAGGAGTGTCTGTTTCATGTGCCATGGCCAATTGTACAAGTCAATTAAAGTATTGAAGATCTCTCTCAGGTTCCCAGATTTTAAGCAAAGTGCTTTGCCTGCTAATTAAAAGGAATGGTCTATGGCTTCCACAGTTCCTGTAATGCAAGCTGATGTCGTTTACTCAGGAAGCACAAGACGCTGGCCCTCATCAAGGATGGACGCGTTATCGGGGGGATCTGCTTTAGGATGTTCCCCACCCAAGGTTTCACTGAAATAGTCTTCTGTGCAGTTACATCTAATGAGCAGGTCAAGGTATGCTGCTGTCTATGAGCCACCACTCTGAAGTCATAGCTGTTTGACCACATTCCAGAAATGTACTGATGTCTATTTGTAGTTGGCATTTTATCATCTGGTTAAATAGTCATGGAGAATAAGAAGTCCGTCACAAAGATGGATGATGAATTTTCCGCCAGGAGGTTCAGTATTAACATGCTTTTCTGTGGTTTCAGGGTTACGGCACCCACCTGATGAACCATCTGAAGGAGTATCACATCAAGCACGGCATACTGTACTTCCTCACGTACGCCGACGAATACGCCATTGGCTACTTCAAGAAGCAAGTACGCAGTCCGGCCCACCTGCAGTGAAATGGCTCACATACTTCCTGTTTGTACTCCCGCCTCTTGGTGACAGCTTCTGTCGTGACCTTGTGCTTTGACAGGGCTTTTCCAAAGATATTAAGGTGCCAAAGAGCCGCTACCTGGGCTATATTAAGGATTACGAGGGGGCTACTCTGATGGAGTGCGAGCTCAATCCCAGAATCCCCTACACAGAACTCTCTCACATCATCAAGAGACAGAAGGAGGTGAATATCGCTATCGTGGCCGAACACGTTTCATGAGTTTTCAGTCAGGAATCCAAATGTCCTAAACGATGTAGCCTTCAAAGTTGGCTGAGCTGCCACTTTGGCTGGGGTGTGGGGTCTGAGCACTGAGATGGCACCATATCCCATTTTCAGATTATAAAGAAGCTCATTGAAAGGAAGCAGAGTCAGATCAGGAAGGTCTACCCGGGCCTGACGTGCTTCAAGGAGGGCGTGCGGCAGATCCCGGTGGAGAGCATCCCTGGAATCCGTATGTTCCTGCTCCTCTGTCTCTGCAGCCTGTAGACTGCAGGCCAGGTATGAAGTTTCACGGGGGCCGTTTGTCTCTCCGCAGGTGAAGCTGGATGGAAGCCCGGCGGGAGGGATAAGTGGTGAGTCTCGCTGAAGTAGTAATAGGAATAACGTTCTTGATACCAGCAGATGAAGCATAACTTTGAGTTGTGTTTTTGAAAACCTTTCATATAATAATCTTACTCCATGAAGACTCATAAATCTTTTTCTCCATCTGTAGTAGCAAGGAGTTGAAAGACCCTGATCTCTTATATAATATTCTGAAAAACCTTCTGGCACAGATTAAGGTAAGAATATATCTAAGTGTCTGATGGTTTGGCCAATGCCAAGACAAATGCACTTCATTCACTCATTGCCAGCATCATGTTTTACACTCTGCAACTAGATGTTGAACCACTGTTTCCGTTTGCTTGTTTCGTTCATATTTTTTACTTGGACTAATACAAAAATTTTCGAAACCAACCTGTGGGTCACCAAACACTTCATTTATAGACATTTGTATTAATGTCTCTGCAAGACCTTGAACCTTGACCTTGTTTAACTGTAGACTCACCCAGACGCCTGGCCCTTCATGGAGCCGGTGAAGAAAGCCGAAGCTCCAGATTACTACGAAATCATCCGCTTTCCCATCGGTAAGTCTGATGGAAGTTTCTCTGGTTCCTGTGAGCTTAGAAAGCTAGATCGGAGTTCTCACCGGAAGCTCCCCCCTCCCCCCCAGATTTGAAGACCATGACAGAACGCTTGAAGAATCGTTACTACGTGACGAAAAAGTTGTTCATCGCCGACCTGCAGCGCGTTATCACCAACTGCCGGGAGTATAATCCCCCCGATAGCGAGTACTGCAAGTGTGCCAACACACTGGAGAAGTTCTTCTACTTCAAGCTAAAGGAGAGCGGCTTGATTGACAAATGAGGATGAGGTACCACCTTCAAAGGCAATGCCGTGTGGGAGGGGTTGGCGGGGTCCAAGGGAACGCCACAGATGAAGCTTATGAACTGTGGAACAAAGAATGGAATGTGAAGCGTAACTGTGGCAGTATGGATTGAGTGTTTCCTGCACAGGCGCTTTCAGCTCTGGTTTGCAGAGCCTCTCATTCGGTTCTGCTTTGTTCTGGCTAAGCTCTTAATTAGCAAGCACTGAGCTGTTTGAAATAATTGCCAGGTTCGACTCATGTTATGAGTGAATGTGTTTAAAGGGTTTGCTATATTTTTTTGTCATTTGTGAAAGTGTTAATTTATTGTTGTTGAATCATTTAGTGATCTTTTATGTAAATGTTGTAATCAAGTAATTGAATTAAATGCACCTCCGTTTAAACAAAAAATCCTGGCAAGTATTGTTACTTTTGGATGTATTGCTCCAATAAGACACATTGGGTTTTCCACGATACTTATTTGGTGGACATTTCTCATTTAATTCATGCAGTTTGTTCAATCAACAACTCAAATGCTCAGCTGAGACTAAAGTAAAATTACAGTTAAGTCGACAGCCAGCCAGGACCAGAGTTGAAAGCTCCTCCAGATTTATGTTATACCCAGCACCAAGTTACTATGTTTTAAAATAAGGTGAAGACGGTGGAAACCTTTTGGTTCTGTGATGTTCCCATTATGGATTATCGCATGAAGCTGTTTTGTGTACAACCAACAAACATTTATCCAAGGCTCTGCAAACACAATATTGATCAGTTATAAGTGCAGAAGTGATGTGTTTAAAAAAAATAGTCAAAGCCACTGGGCTCAGTCACAAACTAATACAGTTAATCAATGTAATACTAAGCTAAGTGGCATTATGATGTGTTGGTTACATAGTACATGTTCAGTGGCAAGTTTAAACCTCTGGTGTGCCTCTTGAGGGTCCTGTTTTTGGTTTCAAATAAGTACCACTGGGAGGGTCTGGTTTGGGCCTGACTCGCTCTTGAGCCCTCATGCCACTGGCTGCCCCTCTCGAACACCGCAGTGCAGTCACCCTGTGCAGTGGGGTCCGTATTACGAGCACTGATAATGACACGGTTTTGCATTCCCTGTACTGTAAGCTACAAGTGTCACGAAGGCTACACTCCACGTTATTTGTTGCTCATTTGTCTCCCTTGCTTGTTTTAACAAAAATAATTGTTGTATATTACATGAAGGGCATTATGTTTTTTTTTTCCGTGTGTGATGTTTTTATGCTTGTCTTTTCGCCTTTTGTGCCTGAGAGTCTTGTTCATACTAACAATAATGGGAGTCAAAATCTACAGGGACTCATATCCAGGTCCTTCACGTCATTCAAAGCCAAATTTCCAGTTTATCCATGTAAGGCTGCAATGTCAAGCATTCGGTTTTTGGTCACTTGTTAAACTTAACTCCCCTCTTTCACTGTACGTGCAAATAAAGTGCTTTTATATGGTATTCTTCATTTTTGTTGCTATAAGAAATCTGCAGTGGGGCAGATTTTACATTGATTTTCATGGAAAAGTGAAGTGATTGTGAAATCGGCGTGTTGTGTTTCCTCACTCTGCTTTGCTCTGCTCGCAAGCAAATGTATCAGTAGAGAGATGCATACATGGTTTATGCTGAAATGCAATTGATGACTCCAAGGAACTACTATGTATCAGGACCTGGGGGGGTGATCCACAAAGCAGGATTTCTTAATTAGCTGGGTTAACTTAAGCTGAAAGTCAAGATTGTCCAATAAGAGTTTAAATAAGGAGCATTCCTATTGGACAATCATGACTTCTAGCTGAAGCTACCTCGGATAACTGAGAAATCTTGCTTTTGCGGAACACCTCCCTCCCACCCCCCTGTTTTAAATAGGCTTCATCAAGTTCTTAAGTGTTTTGCAGCCAGTTTCAAGCAGAAGGCCCATTAACAGGTACTTGCACCCAAAACAACATATCAAGTAATTTAATCTTATGCACCACAAATGGGGGGATTTTTAGTGCTAATCCTTTTTTTTTTTTTTATCCCATGGGTCCTTGGTCTAGCACAGTGTTTGCCAACCCAGTCCATGATTCCCACACAGCTCATGTTTTTGCTCCCTACTAATATAAATGTGTGATCACTTAAGTAACTGAAACGAAGGACTGGTGGGGTCCTCCTTCAGAATTTTTCACATTTAGTCAGTCCCTAGTCTAGGAGAAGAATATGAAGGATACACACCTCCTTCTGCCTGTACTTTCTTTCATTTTTTTACCCCTCACTTTTAGTCTGAGTGCTACTTTTCAAAACCTAAATATTCTGAGGAAATTTCCCCCACATGCACTTGCAAAACTGAAGTACAGAATAAGGTAAATCACTGCTTTTCCAGTAAGCACCCCTTCACAGATTTACAAACAATAGCCAGTGCTGCCTTGCAAAATTCAAACACGTAGTAAGTGTTTTGTTGGCTGGAAAATTATATAGGAAAACGTTTTATTGTTGATGATCTGGCTGTCATAAAAGCTGGTGGTCAATTTACTGCTATGGAAATTTTCCTCCACTGTGGTGATTTTCCCCCCTGTATCCTAGTGTCAGACCTTATGGATTGTAAAAGTTTTGTTTTTTAGATGATGTGGGTTTATTTTGCTTTTTTTTAAGTGTATTTTATATGATGATTTTCTTCTATTATCAGATGACATGGAACAATTAAAAATTGCAATAATACTTGTTACATCATTTATTTGGAAGCATGTTTTCTTTATTTTGGTAGGATGTAACTGATTGAAGCTGAACCAGCTTCTATATGGTCACATTTTTACCACAGTCTGTGAACACAGAAGCACATCAGCACGTCCCATGATCCTCTGCAGTGTTTCTTTATGGCACTGTCTGGGTGAAACCATCTTTCATTTTGTTCGCGTGTTAGCATAGTGAGTTGCTTGGAATCTCTCCCTACAATCCAAACACTAGTGATCCAGATAAGAATGCAAATTTGTATGGGCTTTATGAGACGTGTATATATGCGATGACGGACTGGCATATTATCTAGGATGCCGTGCTTCCCTGGACAGGCTCCAGCTACCACAAGCTTAATTAGAAAAGCTGTTACTGATAATGGATGGGTGGAAAATAATTGCAATAAACTCCCCATCTCCATTGTGAAGTTTACACTGGTGCACTTCTATGTAAGAAGCATTGTGCGTCTTGTGTTTACAAAGGTTTGACTGTGATTTGGTGTGTGTGCGCAAGAGCATTAACTGGTAATCTATGCGTATATGAACTGTACTAATATTAAAATCTCTATGTGAATGTGTGTTTATCAGACGTGCAAAAAATGGCCGTGGCTAGTTGGTGTAGAAAATAAAAATAGTATGGTTTCCCTTGCTTGCCTTTGTAAATGCCTTGGTATTTACTGTTCATTTTGACTGAACAAATGTGAAAAGGTAATGGAATGTTTGGATAGAATTTCTGCTAGTCAGCATATAATTCACTTTGAACTATTTTTACAGTTATGTGAAATAAATTAGCATTTTTGCAAAAAAAAATAAAAATCAGTTTCTTGCACATTAATACTGTTCTGATTAAATTATATATCTAAAACAATCCTAGACATTTTTAAAGGAGTAGTAATAAGGTTTGGAACACACACACACACACACACACACAGAGAGAGATACTCCCCAGCTTATGGTCCGTGTAACGATATTTCGACTTTACAATGCATATTCCAATTTCATTCTGTTTTTCACTTTCTATATTATAATTACAAATAATGTGTATTATAATTACACATTATCATATAATGATTTTGCCTAAGTATAGGCAAATGTAACTCTTCTAAGCATGTTTAGGCTAGGATATGATGTTTGTTGGATTAGGTATACTATATATTTTCGCCTTACGATAGGTTCGTCCTGAGGAGATAACCCCATGTTATCCCAGGGAGCGTGTGTGCGTGTCTATATATGTATGTGTGTGTGTGTGTATAACGCACTGTGTGACTTAATGCATGTGCTCTGCTAAGGCCGGGCTTCTGTGGGTGTGTGCCAGCCTTGTGCCCTCTGCTGCCGGGCATCCAGAGTCCAGGGCCCCCATGACTCTCACCAGGGTAAGCAGTTCAAAGATTGATGCAGGTATGTTAAACATAGGCTTCATTGTGATCTCGTTGAAGGTACATGAGATTCTACATTTTTAATGTTGGAGGAAGGAGCAGCTTCACTTAATACTAGGGGCCGTTTCTCATTACTTGACTGGGATCAAAGTTCAAGTGTGGGTGTCATTAACCAGGTGGACTTCAGCAATATTGTGGGAAAGTGTAACGGATTGAGCTAAACAGAAAGGGCAAGAGCCACAACCGAGGTGCTGAAGATCATCCTCAGTTATGTGGAGATGGCACCAATGCTCAGATAAACCAGTGGTTCTCAATCCTGTTCCTGGCGCCCCCCTTCCAAAACGTTTTCATTCAAACCCACACTGCTGTCAACCTGCCACATTCATTATTAGCCTATTAAGGGCCATATAAGCCTGATTAAGGTGGGGTTGGAATGGAAACATTCTGGAAAGGGGGGGCACCAGGAACAGTATTGAGAAGAACTATGATAAACAAAGAGACGGCAACACTTATATTTGTTTGGCCATTATGGATTTTCTTCTGATCTCCTTGGTGAGTTTTTCGCTCGCTTTTAAAAATAGCTGTTTCCTCCAGAAGGCTTCCCTCAAAGGATTCTCATGTTAATGTCAAAAAAAGATGCGTACCAAAATAAGGAAGGAAATCTTTTCAAGTTGTCATTGGCTGTTCCTAGAATAGTCCACAGAAGATTTTCGGATAAAATCCTAGACATGAACTTGACATCGATTTATGTGTGCTTCCAGAGAGCTCTCTGACTTGGTCTGAAAGGCAGCACGGAAGATCAGTTTCAAAAGGTGTCGTCAGGTAAACTAAGCCACCCGGTGCTGAGCTGCACACACTAGCTCCACCCCTTGTCATAGGGACGTTGGAAAGGAAGTTCAACATTCCTAGCTGAGTGATTCTGGAATTGAGAACCCACATGCAGAATAAAGTGCTCCTTGTCAACTGCTATTGCACTGACAGTTCTTATTGCTGGGCAAGTGTGACTGTAACCTTGTTTTAATGAAGGGTGACTTTTGATCATGTGTCTCACCTGTGGCCCTTGACTTGCTGGCCTCCACAGTTTGCTTTCGTTAATCATCTCAACACTATGTGGCTCTTAACAACAGACAGTTCTTCCAACAACAAGCAGTCCTTGAAACCTGAGGCAGCGAACGACAGATTTCCTGGACTTCTTTGAACTGGAAGGAAGTATCTGACAAACAGCTGACCACATAAATAAAAGCGTGACTTAAACCTGTCAGACGTTCAGATTTAAGGGAGACATAAAAGTCCTGTTTATTAATGGGGAGTTAATGCGCTGATTTATGGAGGACGAGCAGCTGCTAGAGTTCAAGTGTGACCCATTTTCTCGTCGGTGCTTGTCACGAAAAACGAGTTAGTCGCACTCATTAGCTTGTTAAATTCAAGAGGGGTTGAATGGCACTCTGGTAGGGGCACATATCTGGCGGGGGCGGGGTTGGGTGCGACAACACATAACACAATGACCTGGGTAAAATTAGAATGTCAGCTTTGTTTATGCCTGTGGTCCTCTCTCGCCTTTCTTCTGCACAATGGCAGCCATGCATGCTAAGCATATTAACTCGCATAATTTCTGCCGGGTGCGCTGCTCCGCAGAGCTGTTTACAGATGCCAAGGAAAGATACAGGTTGACAGGAAATGTTCACATTTAAAGTGGTATTCCTACTGATACGTGGCTGCAGGATTAATGTTATTCATGTCGATGCTATTCAGTTATTCAGTCTCCATAAAATGATGTCTAGCACTCTGAATCTAATTCCAGTACAATATATGTATGGAAATTGGGGGCTTTTTCATGGTTGTTTAAATGTCAGTTTACGTAAAAAAATTCCCTTTACCAGCTATACTTGCTCATACTCACATTTTTGGTGTATTGTATCCTATGTTATTTACTTAATCCATCTCTACTTCAAACGGGGAAATCAGTTACACTGAGGTTATTTCTGCTGCATTGTTAGCAGCTTGCATTATTTATGTAATCCCTCTGCATAAATAATGCATATTAGAGTGTATTTAGTTACATGGAATTTTATTGGCATTTTCTATTGAAAATTAATTTTCCTCCACTTAATAAACACTGTTTTTTTATCCTCTGATGTCATAGGTGGTCAACATAATGACTTCAATCCTGCAAGGTTTTAGATCTGTCTCCAATACTGGTTTGACTGGGTCCGGTGGCTTACATTAATTTCCTTTGCATGTGAATAAGTGTCCTGTGATGGACTGGAATCCTGGTCAGTGTTATGGGCTTCCTGGTGTAGGCTTCAGACACTGTGGTCAAGTGCTAGACAGGTAGTTAAGCAAAAGTGCTGAATGTCAAACGTGTAGCCATTACAATGTACGTTCTATCTCAGAAAAAAGTCCTCGTCTATGACAGTAGTTACCGATGTGTGCATTTTAAAAAGCCACTAGGTGGCACTAGTTCTCTTCTGGTGCTCAGAGTTTGCGAGAGCCATGTGTTAACTGTCCAGCTTGGTGCAGTCAATTTTAATAAACTGTGACAGACTATAACTGCTGGTTACTGGCACAAACAAAAGATGTGAAATGAGAGTGACGTGTATGAGAATGGCAGGATTTAAGAGAGGTGGCTGAGGTGTCTTCTTTACCATATGATGGTCTGAGTACCATCTTGGCCACCTGGGTTGTGCCACCTGTGTGTAAGAGATCTGAATGTGGAACTCTGTAGTTGCTGGGTGAGGCTCTGGGGGCGTGTAGTGGATGTCATGGCATCAACTGTCAGTGGGATTGTTTTGTCACATTGGAGTCTCAAATCTCAGTTTAGGTGGGAGTGGCTGGGTGTTTATAATGTATAACGTGCCTGGTTTGTTTAAGGGTACATTGAAGATCATTGTGGTTATGGTCTACATAGACTGCAACAACAGTTTTCTTGCCATCCAGTTTGGAGACATTTGGGTTGTGCGCTTCTCGGCTTTGACCAAATGCCAACATTAGGTAATTAATCCAGGTATCTGTGCAGCACAGTTCTTGCAGCCTGTTTAATTTGAGAGACGTCCTTTGCTGCAGAATGGAACGCTGATTCATGGTGGCATTGTTATCGTCAAGGGGTCAAATAAACTTCAATAATGTCTGTGCAGAACCTCTTTGGATGAATCCATGTTGAGCTTCACAATGTCAGTCACTGGCCTGACTGAAGTAAAGCCGTGAAGAAGGTTAGATGTCCTTAGATGAATTGTGGTGCCTTTACTGGACTGCCCCTAAGGCAAATGGTACTTTTTCAGAGGAGTCAGTGTGCTAGCAAGATGGCTGGTTTTCTTAAAACCCGAATGCAAGAAAGTACCCATTGCCTGCATTGTTTGAGGGCCTTCGTGAGCTTTTCGGCACTCATGCATGTCATCCCTAGCATCAGCTACGATGCCTTTTAACATTTCGGGTCATTTGTGCATTTTCATGTTTATGTGTTTAATTGACTTGACGGTACATGACGAGAAGAGAATCTAAGTAGCACTGGAGCTGTGGGCTGAGTTGAACTGTATCAGGGAAGGACCTCTGGGTGACCAAATGAAAGGGGCGATGCACCTTTGTAATTTATGAACAAGTCTGCAGTGGCCACGCCTAGGGCCACCTCACCT